ATTCCAAAACCAGGGAAAGACCCAACCCAAAAAGAGAAATACAAGCCACTCTCCCTAATCAACATAGATGCAAAAATCCTCAACAAGATACTGGCAAACAGAATAGAGAGGGCTGTCAAGAAGATCATACACCCTGACCAAGTCAAATTTATCCTAAGGATGCAAGGATGTTTCAACATACATAAATCAATAAGTGTAATACACTATACTAAAAGAACTAAGGACAAAAACCATACAATCATCTCAATCGATACAGAAAAAGCATTCAACAAAATCCAACACCCATTCATGATAAAAACACTACAGAAAACTGGAAGAGAAGGTTTTTTTCTCAACCTTATCAAGGCTATCTAAGAAAAACCAACAGCCAACATCACACTAAATGGTCAAAAACTGAAAACTTTCACACTAAAATCAGGATCAAGACAAGGATGCCCACTATCACCACTCCTGTTCAATATAGTTCTGGAAAAATTAGCCACAGCAATTAGAAAAGAGAAAGAAATAAAAGGAATAAAGATAGGAAAGAAAGAAGTTAAACTGTCATTATTTGCTGATGATATGATACTTCACATAGAAGACCCAAAAACTCTGCCAAAAGACTTCTAGACTTAATTGAAAGATTCAGTAGATTAGCTGGATACAAAGTCAACACTCAAAAAACAATAGCCTTCTTATTCACAACAGACTCACTGAGAGAGAAATTAGGGAAACAATTCCTTTTACAATTGCATCCAAAAAGTGAACTATATAGGAATCTATCTAAAAAAGGAAGCAAAAGACCTCTACCCTGAAAACTACAGCACCCTGAAAAAAGAGACTGAAGAGGATATAAGAAAATGGAAAGATATCCCTTGTTCCTGGGTAGAAAGAACCAACATAGTGAAAATGTCCATACTTCCAAAACTACTATATAGATTTAATGCAATCCCGATTGAAATTCCAACAATATACTTCACAGAACTAGAGAAAACAATCCAAAAATTCATTTGGAAGCAGAAGAGACCTAGACTAGAAAAAGGAATTCTAAGCAACAGAGACAAGGCAAGAGGTATCACAATCCCCATCTGGAAACTATACTACAAAGCTACTGTGATAAGAACAGCCTGGTACTGGCAAAAACCCCCACAAAAAACCAGATCTGAGGATATGTGGAATATATTAGAAGATGTGGAAACAACTCCAGACATACTTAGCCATCTCATCTTTGACAAAGGAGCCAATTCATTGGAGGAAAGATAACCTATTTAATAAATGGCATTGGAAAAACTGGATTTCAACCTGTAAAAGAATAAACTAGACCCATATCTGTCACCAAGCACTAAACTAGGATGAAAATGGAATAAAGATCTAAATATTAAAACAGAAAAACTAAGCTTGCTGGAAGATAAGTTAGGTAGAACTCTTGAAGTCACTGGCATAGGAAAAGACTTTATGAACAAAACCTCAGTAGCACAGGAACTAGCACAAAGAATCAACAACTGATCTCATCGTATTAAAAAGCTTCTGCACTGCAAAAGAAACCACCAACAGAGCTAAGAGACAACCTACAATCTGGGGAAAAGTTTTTAGCAGCTGTACCTCAGACAGAGGTCTACTATCTAGAATATATAAAGAACTAAAACATATCAGACCTGCCAAATATAAAGACCCAATTCAAAAATGGGCATCCAAAATGAGCAGACATTTCTCAGACAAAGAAGCAAAAGCAGCAAATAAACATATGAAAACATGTTCAACATCATTGGTCATTAGAGAGATGCAGATGAAAACAATGCTGATTCCACCTCACCCCAGAAAGAATGGCTGCTATCATGAAATCAACCAATAACAAATGCTGGCGGGGCTGTGGGGAGAAAGGAACCCTTCTCCATTGTTGGTGGGAGTGCACACTTATGCAACCACTGTGGAAGTGAGTATGGAGATACCTCAAAGAATTAGGCCTGGAAGTCCCCTATTCCCCTGCTGGGTATCTTCCCAAAAGAATTAAAAGAATCATACCACAGTGATATATGTGCACCCATGTATATAGCAGCACAGTTCGTAATACCTAAGGATTGGAAACAGCCCAAGTGCCCATCAACTGGAGACTGGATAAAGAAGATGTGATTTTATTTATAAAATGGAATGCTATTGAGCCACAAAGAAAGAGAAATTAGAGACATTTATAGTTAATGGTTACATATGGAGGTCATACTCTTAAGTGAAATAAATAGGACACACGTGTAAATACCAAACAGTTTCTCTAGTGTGAGAAACTGAAAGTGTAAATAAAGGTTAAAATGATTAAAACAAATAATTGAAATAGGAAGAAAGGGTTCAAAGGTATAGGGGTAGTGAGAAGGGAAGCAAAAAGGAGGGAAGGGAAAGGAAAAATTATAAGAAAAGAAAAAAATGCAAAAGAACTCTATGTAAATACGGAAGGGTGCAGGGGGTGAAGGGCACACAAATAATGGGAAATAAGAACCAAGATACATCATCCACAGGCACAAGAACCCAATGATAAATGTAAATGAATTGTATACCTAAAATGTACCAATAAAAGAATTTTAGGAAGAAAAAAAAAGATGTCGAGCTCTCTCGCCAAGGTCAGGAGATCCTTTCTGTGTTCTAGAAAGATTAGTGAACACGGACCATGTGCCACCCACAGGAGATGTGACAGAGATCAAACAGTAGAGCATCAACACATTGCCTTTTTCATTCCTCAATTCTATGTCAAAGTGTCACAAAACACTACACTGGAGTAGCAGACTGGAAAGGACCACTGTGCTAGGATGCCAGAGGTCAGCGCTCAGACACAGTGAGAGCAGGTGAGTGATTTCTTCCTTAGGAAGCATGTCTACGGGAAGGCGCTGAGAAACAGAAAAGGCAGAAGGCACTAAAGGAAGATGAGAGCTCATGCCTCACACTGTGAGCGCCTTACTCGTGAGCTGTGTGAGTGCAAGTGAGCCTGTCCCTCTGTCCCCCACTGGAAAAGGCTGCTGTGGACTCCAGCAGTGGCTCTGCAACTTAGCTGGATGTTAACTCCCTCTCTTCCTTATCTTCCTCATGGCAGCCATCAGTGCTATCTTCCCATCCTTTCTCTGCCTTACTTTTCTCCTTCTCCTTTCCGCTTTCTCCCTTGGATCCAGCCCAATCCCCACTCCTAGTTCTTGTGGGAGGAGACAGGAACTTATTGCTCCTTACACTTCTGCCTCCCCAATTAGCAGTCCTCTTCCTTCACAATCAATATCTCTGTGGCTCAACAAGGCCCAAAGGCCTCCTTGGTCCTCCCAGTAGTCACCATCAGAATGCTCTACTCCATGGTGGGGGGATGACCAGACCGGAAGTGCAAGACTCTGAAGTTGATGGCAAGGAGCAGAGGTGCAGGACTGGGAACAAGGACACAGACTCTGCCGCCAGCCTTTCTGGCAACCCCAGGGATGTGGCCAGATCTTGTTTGATTTGTCCTTCCTGCCTGTCTCCTGCTGCCTCATCAGGAAAGATCTGGTTTTCTGTTCGGGGATAAGGGAAGGGGACTATAGAGATTTGAGACTCAGGCAGTCACACAAGTGATGATAACTGACCTCAGCCTAAATTGAGGAGACTCATGGGCCAGTGGTGCTGTGCCTGCCTCAAAAGCACAAAGTCCTGGGTTTGATCCCCAGTACCACAAAATTTTTTTTTAAATTAATGTGATTCAAATGACAATTCATCCATCTTTTAGTTATTCTCCACCAACTGCCAGATCTAACTGCTTGGTCTCTCTCTAGGTGCCTGCCATCCCCCTTGGAGACCCTCTCATTAATGCACTGCCAGGTTTCAGACTCTGATGGGAACCAGCTGTCACAGTGTCTGAGCACCAGACACCTGAAACACTTGGATCTGAGTGGTATCAAGCTGACTCATTTTAGTTCTGATCCCCTTCAACTTCTCCTGAATAACACGGCAGGCACTCTGACCATGCTGAACTTGCAGGCCTGTGGGATCACTGATGCCCAGCTCTGTGCCTTGCTCCCTGCCTTGAGCCGCTGCTCCCATCTCATTTCCTTCAGCTACATGAGGAACTCCATGTCCATAGCCACCCTGGAGAGCCTGCTGTGCCACACTACCAGGCTGAGCAACTTAAACCTGGAAGTGTACTCTGTTCCTGAAGAGATTTATGTGCCCAGGCATGGCATTCACCAGTGGAAATTGCACCAGGTTCAGAATAGGTGGAGGAGGATCATGTATCCATTAAACCATCCCAGGATGGTCTGGTTTTGTTTTTCTCATTGTGGTCTCTGTTGTAACTGGGGACTCTATTACCTGCACCCTGCTCTATACAATTCTTGTATGCCTGTCTAGTTTGATCCACATAACCTACGCTTCATTATGGCCACCAGGAACACAGGGCACTGTTTCATTGTAAGTGAGAAAAGAACAGGTCAGACAACAACCTTGGAGAATCATTGACTTGAAAGCAGAAGTGACTTTTCTGGACTTGGGTCCTAGAAAGGACCAGAAATATGAATATGAGTTTCCAGATGTAAATTCAAGCTTGAGATGAATGTGTGGGTAAATGTAAAGAAATGATCACAAATAAAAACAGTTTCATGTAATCCATCTGGTTTCCTCTGTGATCAATTTACCTGGTTTCCAGTTTGGAGCTCATGAATCTGTAGTAACTGATGGGAAAAGGCCCTGAGTTGTCTGATCAATGAGGGTTGGCTTCAGGAACCCACAGCAGCCCATAGAGATATCCCATATTGTTCATTCCCTCTCATTCTTTCATTTTCCCTAGCCACGTGTGGCCTTTGTTTTCTTGTTTTCATCCATATACCCACTTTACTTGGAAGGCATCTTAGGGCCTTACCACTGAACTACAGCCACAGAAATTTTTATTTTCCTGACAAAGTCCTTCTGAATGGCCTGCATTGTCCTTGCACTTAGATCCTCTGTCCTAACATTCCAGAATGCCATGACAACAGGTGTGGGCCATTATTCTCAGATATTTCCTCCTTAGTTCTGTGCCTCTCTTTTCTTGTTAGTCTAAGGTTGGCAACCTGAAATGCACATCAGAGACCAACTCTCTAAAGGGGAGTTCCTTTGAAAATTGCAGGAACTGTGATCAGGTTCATACCTGCTATGGAAGGCCACTGGTAACCCTATAATAGTGTTACACGCCTTTGATAACTGTTCTTCAACTCTGTAAAGTAAGAATGATAGCACCTATTTTATAAAGTCTCCCCAGCCTCTCCCAGCTCAGGTCATGATTTGAATGGAGAAGGTAAGATGGTTGGGCCATAGGATATTTCCATTGCTATTACTCAAGGGCTTTGGAGTGATGATCAGAAACTTTTCCCAAGCTGACACAGCTGAACTTTTAGATTCCTCACCACCCTCTTCCAATAAGGATAGGAATGAAGAGGATTAGTGGTTGGAAGTGGGTGGGACAGTAGCATCCTGGTGCTAAATGTGGCAGAGGTATGGCTGTAGGCAGCGATATTGGGGCAAACTGAGAAGTCCTTCATGACAGACAGGCCAGAGATTTGGTTCAGAGTTAGTCTCCTGGGTCATAAGGTGTCTCTTGAGCTTGGCCTGAGCAAATGTCTCTTCCTGAATGTTGCCAACATCCTTGTTCTTTTTTTTTTCTCTTTTTGGTACCTGGGATCAAACTCAGTACCTTGTGATTGCAAGGCAGGTGAGGTGCCACTTAACTAAATCCCCAGTGAGAATCCTTGTTTTGGGGTTTTTTTTTTTTTGGTTCCAAGGATCAAACTCATGACTTTGGGCTTGTGAGGCAGGTGGTGGAACCACTGAGTTAAATCCCCAGCCCTGAGAATCCTTGTTCTTGAAGATCGATCAGGATGAGTATGCAGAGCCCTGCTAAAGAATGAGGCCACAGACTGGGGATTAAGCTCAGTGGTTCTGCCACCTGTCTCACAAGCACAGGTTCCAAGTTTGTTCACCATTACCAAAAAAAGAGAAAAAGAAAAGAATGAGACCATAGTCTGTATTGCTCTGCATGACCTTCCCAGACTGATCTTCCAGGAAATGTTCATGGAGGCCTTCATGTGTGGACCTGATGATGTCCTGAAGGTGATGGTGGCAGTCTGGCCTTTCCCCTGCCTCCCTTTAGGGTCCCTGATGGACACGAGGAAACCAGAGATTCCACAAAATGAACTGGAAAAACTCCAGCTGGAGGAGAGGAATCTACAGACTTTGAAAGTGGTGCTGCATGGACTGGATATGCTGTTGGCATAGAAGGTTGGCCCCAGGTGAGGGTGGCCCAGGTGACCTGCAGAGATGCTGCAGGGATTCTGGGGAAGGAAAGAGGGTCATGAAGGGGCTGATGTATGGAGCTGAGGTGTGGAGCAGCTTCTGATGCCGTGAGAGAGGAGGATCCAGAGATCCTGCCCATTGCTGAGCATCTAGGAAGTGGCTTCTGGATGTGGAAGCTGCCTGCGCTGGGTGTGGTGACCACAGAAGGAGTCTGCACCTGCCTCTTCTCACAGGAACTGGGAGTTGAACCAGGCTGCATGCAAGATGTAAAAGAAGGTAGAAAAAAGATGGCAGGAAAAGCAGTGGAGGAGCTGATGCTCAGCAAGTAGAAAAGAATTACAGGAATGAATTTGGGTCTCTGCATCAATTGTGAGACTTCTTTTGGTTTCACCCAAAGTAGATGTAAGGTGCCAGTGCTGGATTTGAGGAACATTCATCAGGACCTCTGGACTGTGAGGTCCAGAGCCATGGCTCATGCCTGGGCCCCATAAAACAAGTAAAGGGAGCAAATGGTTAATGACTGTCTAGTGAGCAGGAAGAAGCAGCTCCTGAAGGTGATGGTAAAGCTTCTCACCATGAGTGGAAATCTAAATGGATTACAAACCTATCACTTTGAGTGGGCCCAGCAGAGAAGACATTCAGTCCACCTGTGCTGTAGAAAGATGGAGATTTACAAGATGCCCTTTGATACCTTCACAGATATCTTGAAGATGCTGGAGCTGAACTGTGTTCAGGAAGTGGAAGTGTGTGACTTTTGGGGAGTAAAATACCTGGCACCATTACACTTACCTGGGCCACCTGAGAAGTCTTCCAAAACTCTCCTTCTTTTTTTTTTCTTTCTTTTTTTTTTTTTAACTCTCCCTCTTTTTATTTTCTAATGGGTACTGTAGGACCTCAAATACTACTGGGGAGTGTGTCGATGAGTTCACTCTTAAACTCGGGGAGCTGAACCACCTCCAAACCACAAGGGAAACACAATGCATTATCTGTAAGTGGACCCTGTTGTCTGTCAGCTATTTGTGATTTACTAATGACTAGGACAGTAGAATGCCTGTGGATTGTTGTATTCTTCCTCTATCTGTAGCAAGGTAGGACATCAATGCAAACTTAAAAACAGGGATATAAACTAAAGTAGCCAATCTGGAAAAGAGCATCATGGTAGCCAGCCAGATGTGAGAGTCAGACACTCGGAGGACAGGATTGTCAAGTGCTCCTTAGGAATCACGGCTAAGGTGAGAGGCCAGGAAAGGGAAAAGAGAAGAGTGAAGACTGCAAATAGCAAAAGAGGCTTTGGTGAAGACTGTGATTGAGTCCCACAAGGGACTCCAGTCCCTGTGGTCAGATCTTGCCTGATTTCTCCCTTCTGCCTGTCTCCTGGCTTAGCCTGAGCACAGGTACAGTGTCAGCTTGACAGAGTAAAGGGAGCTTCAGAGATTGAGGACTAACCCAGGGACACAAGAAGGTGATGAGACTCAGACTGATCTGACTTGAACTCTAACTATTTTGGGGATAAAGATACACAATGTAATCACCAATGTTAATCTGTTTTAATATGATTATGAAATTTTGTTTTACTTTTTCACAAAATAAAAACAAGAAATAAAATTGACTGTGCTGATTCTGTGTGAAACACTCTTGACCTTCTGGGGCCAAGTGAAGCCAGACTCTCTTCTTCCCTCAAGCACACTGTGCCTGGGGGAGATTTGCCATGATATCTTTCATTCATCTGCCCATTTTCATTTCTAACCTCTACCCTAAGAACTGTCAAGTCTTCCCTCTGAACTGTTCCCCAAGTTCCCAGGAGTTTAGGTTGTCCTGGGTCAGTCTCAGAGGCTCACGATGGAGGTTCCACCCAACATTCTGGCACCCACCTTCTCATATGGTTTGGGTCTGGTTCCTTTGACTTTAGCCTTGAGGATGAATCCCAGCCTCATGGTGCTCCTTGTTTGCTTTAGGAGACACCAGAATGCTTGTCTTAGTTTTTCTGTTTTGTTTGGTTCCATTATTGAGACCCAGTCCTGCTATGTAGTTCGGGCTGGCCTTCAACTCACTATGTAGCCTATGCTGGCCTTGAATGCACGATGCAACTTCTGGGTCAGTCTCCCACATACTGAGATTACAGGCATTATGCCCCTGCTTGGTATAATGTTGAGTTCTGTTTGGTTTGGTTTGGTTTGGTTTCTTTGGGTTTTTTGTTTCTTTTTTCGGGTTTTTGAGGCAGGCTCTTTCTATGTATTCTAGACTGGCCTCAGCCTTGACCTGGAAGCAATCATCTGGCCTCAGCCTTGAGTGCTACTGTGCCAAGTGCGCACCAGCCCACCTGCAATTGCTGGTCTTAGAAAGGCAAGGTACCAGTGACAAGGAGAGTGTGTTGGCTCAGACCTGTTATCCCCACACTGGGAGGCTGAGGAAAGAAGAGGCCGAGCTGGAAATCAGCCTGGGAAATACAGCAAGTTCCGGGCCATGCAGGTCTGTATAGTGAGGCTCTGACAAAGAAATTAAGAGAAGTTTGAAAAGAAAGCAACATTTGATGCTAGGAGATTTCTTTCCTACTGTTTGCGTGGGTGACTCGCTGTCTACACAAAGCTACCTAACTCAGCAACATTTTCCTTATTGTTTTGTTTGTTTGAATACTTGAGTTTTCCACTGCTCTTATACACATTTTTCTTTCTGTTTTGTTTGCTTGAAAGTTTTTTCCTATGAAATTCAGGCTGGCCTTGAACTTGCAATGAAATCTGGGCTGGCTTCATACTCCCAATTATTGTGCCTCAGCCTCAGGGAATGTTAGATTAACATGCATGTGCCAACTCACCTGGAAATTATAAAACATCTCCATAGTTTTTTTGAGGCAAGGTTTGACTGTGTAGTCCAGGCTTGCTTTGCACTGGTGGCTGTCATCCTACCTCAGACTCTGAGTGCTGGGATTATAGGCATGCACCATCACACCCAGCCCATGATAAAAGTCTTTTTACAATGGCATTTGGTGGTGCTTTTACCTGCCTAATGTTGGGATCATATCAAACTTTGCCTGTGTAACTCTCAAAATTATCACAAACCACACTGGTGAATCTCAGTGATATAGAAGAAAATAATGACTGAGTCCTTGTCTGTCACTTTATCCATAATTCCCTGTCTTGCATGAAAATGTGTTTCCTCTCTCAAAGTGAAATATGACAAAATCACTATGAGGATTAAATGGGTAGAAGGACAAGGTCTAAACAGATATTCTGTTGTATAGAGAAAATATCTTTAGAACAAAGGACTATATAATATCATTCCAGGCAACACCCACAGTGATCCACCTCTTCTCTCCAGTCTACCTCCCAACCTCACACACAGCTATAAACCCATCAGTGGGTTAATGCAATTATTGTCACACAAGCATGACACTTTAGAGGGACATCTAGATATAAACCAAAACCAGCATTCTCCCTATAAATCTCACACAGTTCTGGAAGACAGTGTACATGGAGAGACTCTGGCTGGAGGAGTGATTGAATTGCAAAGATGAAGGGAGATGGTGCAAATGCAGGGCACCACAATATTGATTATGCCCAAAGCAGACTGCAAGCAGTGCAAACTGTAAAGAGTTAACCCCTTCTTAACTAGAAGGACAAGGTTCTAACTATGATCCTATATTTTGTCTATTCTGTTCCTACTTTGAGAGTTCCTTGTCTTTTTTCTTTACAAGACTTGCCTACATTAGATTCCACTGAAACAGCACAACTGCATTTCTTCACACATAGCCCTATCCTTGCACATAGCTTGCCTTTACCCCAATTGATTACCAATAAAAATGAGTGGCTTGGACTGACCAGTGCCTTTGGTGGAGGAGCAACATTGGTCATCTTGTCTCCCCAGTTTCTCTGTCTCTTTAATTCTGCTTTCAGTTTTTTCTCAGCCTTTCACCACAGCACCAAGCAGGAGATCAGAACATACTATAGAGGCCTCTGATAGCAAAGATGAAGGGAGGTGCCACTTCAACCCCTTGCAGGTACGGGCAATAAGAGGAAAAGAGCAGATGGGAGGTCAGCGCCTTCTGCACAGTGCTGTTCATACAAATCAGGATGGCAAAATTACTATCCTGCAAGAACAACTTCAGGCCCAACTTCATAAATTTCAAATGGAGGCTCCCGACATTTACTGTTGATAATCTCAACAATATTGCTTATTGGTTCAACCCTAGGAATTGGTTCTCTGGTCTCAAACTTCATATTTGGATTCTTATAGCTATTAAAATGGTCTTTTTCTCCTGCTTTTTCTGGAGTCCTAAGAGTGCTCTGTGTTCTGGTCCAGTGGACTGGCCATGTAGAAGCTATAAAGACAGTTTTACCTGTACTCTCCACCCTCTGCTCAATCTGGACTCTAAAACAAAAAGGAGGGAATTATGGGGAGACTCTGGCTGGAGGAGCGACAGAAATGACTGCAAAGATGGAGGGATTCTTGGAGCAATAGCACAGGGTTCCTGGGATGCATGGATAAAGATAAAAGTTGGCCTGCAGGACAACAGCTGAGTAGGATCAAAGACAAGTTATTGCTGGGTATTTAGCTCAGTGGTGCCACCCACCCCAAAATCGCAAGGACCCAAGTTCAATTCTGGTACCAAATAAAAAACAAAAAAACAAAAAAACAAGTTATCATTAGATATGATTGCTCTGGTAATACCCTCTGCACCCTCAATAGCTTGCTTAGATTAGGTCAAAATGAGTCATGTACCAAGCACCCTGTTCCTTTCCTGTCCCCTGACTTGAATTCCTGCACAGATGTATCTCTTCTGGACCTTTGTCTTCACTTTTTTGAGTTAAGAATAAAAGACCAGGGCTGGGGTTGTAGCTCAGCAGTGCTGTGCCTGCCTGGCAAGCACAAGGTCCCGAGTTCAGTTTCTGGTACTGGAAAAAAAAAGAATAAAAGGCCAGCAGATTCTCAGCTTGTCACTGCTTCCCTGTGCTCCTGTACACCCTACACGAAAGTGTACGGCAGCCTAGTGGATCTTGTTTCATTTATCCAAAGTGACCTTACCATGGTTTGCACACATATAATTCCAGCACTCAAGAGTCTGCGGCAGGAGGATCATCATGAGTTCAATCTCAGCTTGGGCTACACAGTGAGTTCAAAGCCAGCCTGAACTATACAGCAAGACTCTGTCTCAAAAAGAAGGAAAAAGACTGTTCTCTGGCTAAGTAGCTACATTGCCCAGGTTGCACTTGAACTTGTGGCTCTCCGGCCTCAGCTTTCCACAGTACTGTGATTACAGGCACTCACCACCATAATTGGATATTTTTTGTTCTTTAATGTGGTGCTGGGCATTAAACCCAGGAACTTGCACATGCTATGCAAGAAGTTTACCACTCAGCTACACACCCAGAACCAGTCCTCTGCCTTTAGTATAGTTTGCATAGTTTTAAACATTTTTCAGACTCAATGATTCCAATAAGGACTGAATATTTCCACCATTCCCACAATGCTTCTGAGGCAACCACACACACGTAGCAAAGGCTGTCATTTGGAGGCTCTTCCAAATAGAAACGTATTGGACAGGTACATAGGACAATAATGGTATAAAGGGGTTTCATTGTTTCACGTTCATGAGTGTTTACAACAGTAGTCTTTGGTGGTCAGTCTCTCTGCTTTTGCAAGTTCACCTTTCCTCAGGCTGTAGTGCGTACTTTTTTCCTAGTTTTACTTAGCCCAAAGTCACTCTCCAGAGCCCTTTTCTTTTCCTATATTTAATAAAATTTTGCTAACATTTAAAACAAAGAGTAATCTTTCCTAAAACTGAGTGTGATGCTGCATGCTTAAATTTCTGGGACTTGGGAGGCAGAGGTAGGAGGAGCTCCACGAGTTAAGTCCATTCTGAACTACATAGCAAGACCTTCTCTCAAAACAAGTAAGCAAACAAAAAGGCAGAATCTTTCCTTGCCAGGAATGAAGGTGCATGCCTCTAATCTCAGTGAATTAAGAAGCTGAGGCCAAATTATTGCAAGTGCAATACTAGCCTGGCCAATTGAGCAAGACCCTCTCTAAAAATAGAACCCTAAACAAACCTGAGGATGTAGCTCAGTGGTAAATTATCCTCAGTTCTATCTGGTGTACTGTACAAAGAAATAAATAATCTTTCCAACAAAAAAAAGTTTTGAGCCAAGATCTTGCTATGTAGTTCAGGCTGGTCTTAAATCGCTATGCAGCCCAGCCTGGCCTCAAACTCATGGTGATCCTCTTGCCGCAGCCTCCCAAGTGAGGGGGTTCCAGGCATACACCACCAAGTCCAGCTTTTCTGAAATAAATTTTAATCCAAAGTGCATTGAAAGGGTCCATTTACTAAGTGCTTTGGTTGTGTACCAGCAACTTCTTTAACATCTTGGAAGCCCAGATGTGGCGAATCAGGACACATCTGTACTCTATGTTCCTCATATACACAGTGCGCCTAACACTGCAGAGACCTAGGGACAGTGGTTCACCTCCCTCATCATCAACACCCTTCCTCCATTCCTGAGAACACCAGGAGCACAGGGACACAGTGCACAAATGCGACAGCTTTCCATGTGGCCACCATCTCAACAGGATTCCACAGAAAAGCAGAGCTCTGGCAGCCAACAGGGCTGCACAGGGGCACACAAGGCTGGCTCTAGTGCAACCAAGATTCCAAGCTGTGGGACAAGCCTGCCCCCTGCTGCTGAGTCAGGCTGGGTGAGAAGTTTTGTGAGCAGGACTGTGTTTTGTGGGGTAGTTTACAAAATTGCTATTATGAAATGGTGTTTCAAGATGAATATTAGTATTGTCACTTACGTAAGTACCAAAGGTATAAATTGGTTTCTTAATTTTTTAATTTTTTAATTTTTTTATTTGTTGGTATCGGGGATCGAACTCCAGTCCTTGTGCTTGCGCAGCAGGCCGCACAACCACTGAGCTAAATCCCTGGCCCTAAATTGTTTTTTTAAATCATAGAGGAATTTGTGTGTGGTGGCACTCCCCTGTAATCCTAGCACTCTGGGAACAATGTTACCAGATTCCGTCTCAAAATAAAGGTTTAGCCCATTGTAATAGCTCACACCTGTAATCCCAGCACTCTGGAGGCTGAGGCAGGAGGATCACTGTAAATTCAAGGCAGCCTGAACAATGTAGCAAGAGCCTGAATCAAAGAAATAAATAAATAAGCAAAGAAAAAATTCTAAAGTTCCAGAATTTAGCTTAGTGTGAATGTATTGGATTCAATCCTCTGTATTGAAAATAAATCAATGATTTTAAAAGTTGCTGTATGCCTCAGATTGAGCTCAAATTTTTAGAATCTCCTGTCTGAGTCTACTAGAATCCTGAGATTAAAAATGTATACGGCAAACTCCAAGTGAAAAGGCTTACATATTACTAAAGCAAGTGAGCCAGGTGTGGTGGCATGTGCCTGTAATCCCAGCACTCAAGAAACTGAGGGGAGAGGATCACTGAGTGTTTGAGGAAAACATTGGCTACATAGTGAGTTCAAGACAAGCCTGAATGGCATTTTTTTGGAATAGGATTAATATACCATGAATGAGTAATTGAATTTTCTTGAATAGAGGTAAACACGATGAGTTTTTCAGGTTTTTTTTTTTGCTTCTATTACATTGAATACAAAGTCAATTACACAGTTTTTGAAATACTAAATGAATTTTCATTTCAGTTTAATTTTCAGCTGCTAAACCAGTCGTGCATTCTTCATGAATTTTTTTGACTTAGTGTCTTGACTTATAGTGCAAGCTAATTGTTTATTGTTGTTGTTTGTTTGTTTGTTTTTTGTACTAGGGATCCAACTCAGAATCTTGTGCTTATAAGGCAGGTGCCAGCACCACTGAGTTAAATCCCTGGCCCAAATGATTTATTTGACCTGGCTCTTAGAAACTCATTTGATTTGGTTTAATTTTTTTTCAGTACTGGGGATCAAACTCAGGATCATGAGCTTGTGAGGCAGGCGCAGCACCACTGAACTTAATCTCTGGCTGGTTTTGAACTCATTATGTGCCCAGGCTGGCCTCCAACTCATGGTGATTCTCATGCCACAACTTCCCAAGTGCTGGGATTACTGTGTGTGTCACCATGCCAGGCTCAGGATAGATTTGCAATGTGCAAGCCCATCTGGCATTTCTCATAGACTTTCAGTCTCTAAACCAGTCTTGCTGCCCTCTTCCTCCCAGTGCTGGAGCAGACGATTTCCTGTGAACCTAAAGTCAGAAAAGAAATGGAGCAATTCTACCACCACTCAGAACCTGCACTGTCATCCTCAACTTTGCATGTGAGGAGGCTCCCAGCCAGAAATGCAGCCCTGAACCAACCAGGAGATGCATCTGGGTGTCTACAGCCCCTAAGTCACTACTTCCCAAAGAATGAATGAGTGGAGGATCCGCGGCTCCATTCTCAGCTTTCTTCTTCAGTGATAATTCTCCTGTATTTTTTTTTTTTTGTACTGGGGATCAAACTGAGGACCTTCTGCTTACAAGGGAGGCAGCGGAACCACTGAGCTAAATCCCCAGCTATAGTGATAAATAATTCTAATGCTCTCAGCTAGACATGGCCATTCATGCCTATATCCCACCATTCAGGAGGCAGAGGGAGGAGGATGGAAAATTGGGGGTCACCTGGACTACAGAGCAAAACCTGTTAAGGAAAATATAGAATAACTGCCTGCCTCATTCTGCTTCTGTAACTTGCTTTGCTTGCTTGCTTCACTTCTGAGAATATTGTTTCACTTCTCAGAATACCAATACCAGATGTGTCACCATTAATCACAAGTTTGTAGACACGAGATAGACAAATGCCTGCAACATTGCCTAACCGCAACCCCTGACCCAAGTGAGGCCAGATGTCCGAACCAAGGTAACAGTCACCATGCCTCATGAGCAAAAGTACATGTAGACCCTAACTTTCTGTGAATCACATGACTAGAATTCCCCAGTTTAGAGTATAAATGTAAGCCACCAGTGCAACTCCGGGTCAGTCCCTAAAGGCATGTTCCTGTGGGGCTGGCCTGCTAGCAAATAAATTTTGTTGTTTTACCTTTGCTCCTCCATCTCCTGTGAGTCTTTTGGTCACTCCCAGTGAAATCCACACCAAACCTATCCCGACACACACACACACACACACACACACACTCTCATACAAAAAGCACAGATATTTTCAAAAGTGGATCCTTAAAGATATATTGAAAACAATTTGGGCATATATTGTATTTCTATGAGGCTTATATTAAAACCTCAAAAATGGATATGTGAGAGAAAGCAGGATACTAGTTAAAGTGTTAAAGCAATCAGCATTTTTTGCAGATTTATGATTTTGACACTGTGCTGCAGGTTGGGGAAACTTCCCATTGAATAACTCAAATTCCACTGCATTGACCTTTTTTCCATTCATATTCCAAGCTCATTACAGACCTGATTTCTAAAAGCAAACAAATTGTTAAAACCCTGAAACAGAAAAAGGTATAAATTGAGCCACAGAAGATAATTTTAATTAACTCCTAACAGGATTCCTATGCTCTGATTTAGCTTACTCTGTTGTCTGTAATACTCATCAATGAATCTTCATTTTTTTTTTCTTTGTGGTACTGGGGGTTGAAGCCAAGAACTCCCTTTCTGAGAAACATCCCCAGCCCTTTTTTATATTAATCCAGGTTGTATCTAAGTCACTAAATTGTCTAGGTTAGGGTGAAATTCATGATCTTCTTGCCTCAGCCTCCCAGAGTGCTCAGTTACAGGCATGCACTACCAGCCCGGCTCACTCCTTTTTTTTTTTGGTACTGAGGTCAAACTTTGGACCTTGTGCTTGTGAGGCAGACAGCAGAACCACTGAGCTAAATCTCTGGCCCAGTAACCTCCTTTTGATCCAGGTATTTGCCCTTCTCTTCTGCTTCAGCTACTCACAATAACAGGTACATTTATAGGCCCATACATCTTCCTTAGATGGCATCCTAACAAAAAATAATAACTTAAGAGTTTCCTGGTTTTTTATGTGTTTTTGGAGGGGAATGAGTGCATTCAACAATGAGTATTTTATACTAAGATATATACCTAAGTTTGTTACAAAGATAATGTCATCATGATTGTTATGCTAAAGTATTATGTGTGGCTCCTGATTCAAAGTTTTTCTGTTCATATTCTATAGGAAATCAACTAGTAAAACAACCATGACTGATAAAATAGTCCTCTAACTATATTTTAGATTCCAAAATGCTTGTTATGCAGGTGAAATTATAATAGTTAAGTTCATTACTCCTATTGCAATGATAATGTTATCAATCTTCTCTTCTGGGTGTTCAACCTCCAAAGTCCAGAGAGCAGTACTACGAAGGTAACTAGGCTAAAAAAACTGCCAATATTTTGGCCCTGGCCCTCCAAGGCCAACAAAGATCCAGGGCATGAAGGAACTTTTTCTACAAGATCTTACATTTTTGGTAAGCCACCCAACCTCCTGATCAGGGAGATTGTTGGACACCAAATCAACATCTGTAGTTTCCCAAAGGAATGTCACCTGCAGGAAAAAAAACCTTCCATGCTTTCAGAAAAAGGAACATGGTCAAGCAAGGCTGTGACATATCCTGATGGCTGACTCTGACATGAGCTGAGAGGCTCTGTGCATGGTTTCAAGATATTTCCTGAGAAGACCTAATTGACCTTGATAGATAGCAAGAGGTTAATTTTATTTAATATAAGTCTCACTGAAACTTGATCTTAAACACCCAGTAGAAAAGCATAGCTAAAGATATGTAAAATCAAGAACCTAGTTATATAGCTAGATTAAAAAGAGGGTCCAATTGCTGATCCCTTCTGACAATTTCCAGATATACTGGTAGCTGACCATTGTTATGGGTCATTGGATAAAATCATGCTAAAATTTATACAAACTCAACAAGAGTTTTAAAAATTATTTTGGCTCAAATTGTTTTTCAGGATTATTAATTTTTTAGTCCTTTTATAGCCACAATTTAAAAAATCATAAGATATCAGACTTATAGATAATCTCCATTAATGGAAGGGTGTAAAGGTTGATAAGTTACATTCACTACTTTAGTCTCTTAAGAACAGTTTCTAAACATGGCTATTTCCCAAAAAAACCCTTTTATTTTAGTGCTTATACCTTGACTATACATGTTCTAATTTCTTTAAAAAATCTTGTTTATCCTTGCTTATAGGCTGCCAAATTCAAAGTGATCATACAGATAATATCAACAACAAATGTGCTAGACATTTTTTTAACCAATATCCACCATTTTAACAAGCATGCCCTTCCTGTGCTCCCTTTCCTAATGGGAGCTGGAGTTCTGGCAGGAATAGGCACAGGGGTCATGGGAATTTCAGCATCAACACACTTCTATTACTCCCTATCTCAGGAGCTAAATGAGGATATGGAAAAGGTGGCAGACTCCTTGGCCACCCTACAATCGCAGATCAATTCACTGGCAGCCATGATATTTCAAAACAGGTGTGCTCTGGACTCAATCCCAGCAGAAAGAGGGAGGATCTGTCTCTTGCTGGAAGAAGAAGGCTGCTACTTTGTAAATCAGTCAGGCATCATAAGCAACAAGGTTAGAGAGCTGAGGGAATGCATAGAAAAATGCAGATGAGATCTAGAAAACCAACATTCTTTGTCAGGATATTTTAACCAATGGCTTCCTTGGCTCCTACCTTTCTTAGGGCCTCTCACTATACTCTGCATGATTCTGCTTTTTAGACCCTGTCTGTTCCGCTATTTTCAAAATTTCTTGCAGGAACACATGAGAGCCTTCACAAACCAGACAGTTGGCAAGCTCGCCATGGCCAGATACCAGCCCATCACCACTGATGCAAGCTCATCATACTGGGACCTCATTGCGGCCATCTAAAGCCCCCTACCCAATAACGCCCCTATGCCAACAAGAAGTAGCTACAGAAGAAGAGACCCTTGCCTCTATTCCATAATAACAAGAGTCTGAATGTTAGACAAAATGGCCACAGGGAGGTCTGTTACTCAAAATGGCGCCCATTTCTCATAAAACGGGTCGTTTCCTCTCCCGGGAAACAGAACTGAACTCGTCACCCCGCCCCACTACTCATCTGCAATCAGTAAGTTTAAATTCCATCACCTGCCCCAGCAATACCACCAATCCTCAACCCCCACAATGCTCTCCCGCCACACAACCCGTTATAAACCTCACCCAGTTAGTCTCTCACTCTGTCTCACCATTGTTCCAGACAGCCTAGCAGCTCCTTCCCTCAATAAAGCCCTGCCTCTGGTGTTCCTGTTTTGACTTGATTTCTTTCACTCCGTTGTTCCTAGAATTCATTCTTTGATTTTAGAGAATACAAACTCGTGTTTCTGATATCTAGCAGGTTTTGGAGTTACATCTATTCCCCCTATACCAAAATGAACAGACAATTCTCAGATGAAGAAGTTGAAATGTCAAATAAATATATTAAAAAATGATGAACATCACCAGTCATTCAACAGGTGCAAATTATAACAACGCTGAGATTTTCTCCAGAAAGAATGACTATTATCAAGAAATCAACCATTAACGTGCTGGCAAGGATATAGAAAAAAGAACCCTTCTCCGCTGTTGGTGCAAGTAGAAACTTGTGTAACTACTGTGGAAAGAAGTGTGAAGATTCCTCAAAATACTAAAACTAGAGGTTACATTTGACCCAGCTATCCCCCTTCTTGGTTACATTCTTCAGTTTTACAGAACACAAACTCGCTTTTCAGATATCTAGTAGGTTTGGGAGTTACATCTCTTCTCCCTATATCATTTTTTTCCAGAAAGGACAAGAAGCATTATATCAAGCAATATATTCATACCCATGTTTATAGAAGCATAGTTTGTGTTAGCTAAATCTTGGAAACAGCCCAAATCCCCAACAACTGATGAACAGATAAAGAAGATATGAGTTTTTTGTATGTTTTAGTTTTTGTTTTTGTTTTTGTTTTTTGTTTTGGTACTGGGGATCAAACTCTGGTCCTTATGCTTGCAAGACAGGTGGCAGAACCACTGAGCTAAATCCCCAGCCCTATATGTTTTTGTTTTTGAGACAAGCTAAACTTGCCTTATGCAGTTTAGGCTGGCCCTGAAGTCACTATGTAGCCCAGGCTGGCCTTGAACTGACAGCAATCCTCCTGTCTCAATCTCCTGAGAGCTGGGACTCCTGGTGTGCACCACCACTCCCAGCTGATATGGTTCTTTTTATACACTGGAGCACTATGTAATAAAGAATGGTAAGTCTGGGCTTGGTATTTAGCTCAGTGGTTCCCCCGCCTGCCTCTCAAGTGCTAGGTTCTGAGTTCAATCCCCAGTACCAAAAAAAAAAAAA